TCTAACCCCCTCCTCTCCGCCTCCTCCCTTACCCTCTGGTAACCACTAGTCTATTATCCATGTCCATGAGTCTCTGTTTGTCCTATTCGTTTGTTGCTTTTAGGTTTATCTCCCACATGTAAGTGATATCATGTGGTTTTCAACTTTTTCTGTCTGGCTAATTTCGCTTAGCATGATTATCTCGAGGTCCATCCATGTCGCAAATGGCAGCATTCTATTTCTTCTTATGGCTGAGTAATATTCCATCATATATATGTATCACAGCTTCTTTATCCAGTCATAACTGTTTTGATCATAAATGGAAGCTGTTAAAGGCTTTTTCTGCATCTATCGATATGATCATATGATTCTTATTTTTTAATGTGTTTAAAAAATGTATCACATTAATCGACTTGCATATGTTGAACCATCCCCGTGCTCCTGGGATGAAGCCCACGTGATGGTGGTGTATAATCTTTTTAATATGTTGCTATATTCAGTTAGCTAGTATCTTATTTAGGATTTTTGCATGTGTGTTCATGAGAGATCTTGGCCTATAGTTTTCTTTTTTTGTGTTATCTTTACCAGGTTTTGGTATCAGAGTAATACTGGCCTCATAAAATGAGTTGGGAAGTATTGGAAGAGCTTGAGGGGAATAGGTATTAAACTTTTTTTGAATGTTTGGTAGAATTCACTGGCGAAGCCATCTGGTCCTGGACTTTTACTTTTTGGTAGGCTTCTGATGATTGTTTCAATTTCCATATTGCTGGTCGGTTTATTTAGATTTTCCAGTTGTTCTTGATTTAGTCTAGGAATGTTGTATTCCCCTGGGCTCCGCAGTGTTCAGTCTCGAAGGGTAAGAGGGCAGGCCCTCTGGATTGGGGGTTGGGAGCTGCAGTTCAGCGTTGGCTTTGCGACCGTGGCTGGTAATAATCAACTGTTGTTTTTCTGCCATCTCGCTTCTCTGTTTTCTGCTCTGATGACTGGGCCGTGCCATCGGCCGCATGGAGTTCACAGCACTCCCAGGCAGGGCTGCTCAGGGAACTTGCCACACCTTCTCCCTTCCCCCTCTTTCTACAGTGAGCTCCGGCGGCTATGAGAGGCAGCTTCTTTATTTCTTCCAGTCCACCGCCCAACATCCGGGGTTCTGACCTGTGGTAGCTCTTATGTACAGATCCCACGCTCAGACGTGCTGGTGTGCAGTTTGGGTGTTTATTTGTTGAGTTTTAGATGTTCAGCTTATTGTCGTTTCAAGGGGAGAGATCTGGGGACGTCTCTCACTCCGCCATGTTTCTCCAAACTTCCCTGTGAGGATATTTTAACTAGAAAAAAAACTATAAGGGGGCCTTGGATGTCTCTGGTCAGGCAGCCACATCCCAGCTATAACTTGATAACCTAGGGTACCAGTAGTGGGTCAGAGGCTCACGCAAGATTCATACCGCATTTCCTGGTGTCAGAACAAGGGCTGGACAGTCCGTTGCCATTGTGCCTTCATGCAGGTGGCAGTGGGGAGGAGCTCTAGGGGACAATCTGCAGACCATCCCAACATTTTTAAGTGTACTGTTTAGTGGCATTAAGTACAACTCACATTGTCGTGCAACCATCATCACCATCCATTGCCAGAACATTTTTCATCTTGCAAAACTGAAACTCTGTAGCTGTTAAACACTAACTTCCTCCCTCCCAGCAGCCCCTGGCAACCACCATTCCACTTTCCGTGATGAGTTTGACTACACTAGATACCTCATGTCAGTGAAATCATAAAGTATTTGTCTTCTTGTGACTGGCTTATTTCACTTAGCATAATGTCCTCAAGGTTCATCCATGTTGTAGCATGTGTCAGAATTTACTTTTTTTAAAGGCTAATATTCCATTGTATGTATGTACCACATTTTGTTTAGCCTTTCATTATCAATGGACATTTGGGGGTACTGCCACCTCTTGGCTATTGTGTATAATGTTGCTGTAAACATGGCTGTAGAAACATCTGTTCATGGCCTTGATTTCAGTTTTTTGGGGGTCTAAACCCAGAAGTAGAATGGCTGGATAATATGGCAATTCTGTTTTTAATATTTCAAGGAATTGCCTTAACTGTTTTCCATAGCAGCTGCACCATTTTACACCCCCACCAAATGTGCACAAGGGTTTCAGTATTTCCACATTCTCGCCAGTACTTGTCTGCTGCTTGTTTTTATAATAGCCATCCTAGTGGATATGAGGTGATGTCTTGTGATTTTGAGTTGCATTTCCCTGATTATTAGTGATTTGAGCATCGTTTTCTGTGCCTGCCAGCCACTTGTATATCTTTTTTGGAGACATATCTCTTTTAAGTCCTTTTCCCATTTTTATAATTGAGTTGTTTCTTTTGTTGTTGTTGAGTTGCCTGGTATTTTTTTAATATTTTGGAAACCAGTTTAATTTGTGTGTTGAGTGATGTTCATAATTTATTGAGATAAGTGTCCAAGGAGCAAAATTATCACACTTAGTCTTATCATATTAGTTATTATTTTTCGCTTGAATAAAGACAGTGCTGATTATGTACTTTAACTCTTCGAATACGTTTGAGTGGGAACATAGCTTCCTTAAGGAAGATTTATGTTCATTTTAAGGACCATATTTTTAAATGGAAGTTTGGGAGCTGAGAAGAAGCTAGAAGTCAAGCCTCAGAAGAAGGTATGGGACACTCCTTTTCTCCCATCACCAGCAGCCAAAAAAAAAGAGCATTGTCATTAATGTCTGTTACGCAGCCAACTCGGGAAACAGTAAAAGTAGCTATTATAAATTGCTGAGCTTATGTTAAAAGTTAGAGAAGCCTAATTGAATGTCATCGGGGCCACAAACTAAGAAGACCAAACTGTTTATCTGAATTATGTCCTGTCCTCATTCCTTTTCCACACACACCCTAAACTTAGTACTCCGCAGAGGACAGTTTTATCCCC